GGCATTTCCAATTGCACTTCATCATCGTCCAGATTCTTACGAATTCCTCTCGTTGTCCATAAACATTCTCCATCGTTACCCATAAAACAGTTTCCACGTTTAATTGCCGATCGTAACTCAACGAACACATCCCGAGTATCAGCTCTACCCCAAACGCCATAGTAATTCACAGAAAGAACGACCAACATCTCCTCCGTCGAAACTCCGACGTTCCTAAATTCAAGCTGGAATCAACGTTCGCGAAGCTCCTTTAACCCTTTGCACTCGAAAGTTTTTTACCGGAAATATTCAAGACGTTGTTCGAACCTAAACGATAATTCACCGATAAATTAAGCGACAAAGTTATTTCACTTAAATATTTCACATAATACAAAGTTCAATTTAAAGTACTAAATATTCAACTTCACAGTTTTGCTGTAAATTAAGAGTCACCTCTCGAGCGCAAAGGGTTAAACCCACCGGCGTGTTCCGCTTTGCATATTTCTGTTTACACCGTGCATAAAACGGAACACGTCCCCGTATCTTTCCCATTAACTTCCAAACTTTTTGACCCGTCTCGAACGTGCTCCCGACGCTCGCCGTAAATCCGTCTTCCCCTTGACACCCCGTGATAATTCAAGTTTACTGCGCCATTATACAAGCAGGAATTGCGTAATAATTAACGAACGCGCCAATTAATTTAGAAAAGTCTTAAACTGCACGCGCCCGTTGCCGCGCATCTGCGCGTCGAGCGCCCCTCTGAATTAATTTCAATACGTTATTATTTTCATCCTCGTATTCCCGTAAACGCCAACGTTCCAGATCTGTTCGCGGCGTAATGGCGTTCACTTGAAATTAATTTACCAGAAATGCGTAAAGTCCGCGGCCGGTTAGCCGGGAAATATTCGGACGAGCGACGCCTGCTGGGATCGGCCGGTTCCGGTCCGGCGGACGTCTTCGGCCGGCCGATCGGATTAATTGAAATCTCGGATCGGCGATACGCTATCGGGAAACCGTTTCCTTCGGCCGCGACCCGATCGCACGTGCTCCACTTTCCGAGATATGTCAACCCCGGACGCCTGACTAGCGCGCGATTAGATTCGACACACATTTGACTCGCGAAATTCGCCGCTAATATCGACAACCAGGCGAAACTATTTGCGCGCGGCGATCGTTGTCGCGTACGAACAATATTCCAATTTTAGCCGTTCGAGTGGGACGTGTCCTCGCGAAAATCCGGTTGGACGTTGCCAAACGACGCGATAACGCTTCTTTCGTTTCACTTTAGAAACTAGGCTTTTCTATCGTCGCGCGTAGACATTCTAAACGGTGCTAAACGGATTTTTCGATTTCTTAGAGGGTAAAGAAGTGGATGAATCATTGTAAGGGAAATATGTGGATGAACTCGGTTTAATTCTATGAAACGTACTTTTAGGCAGTGCAACGGAGAAACGCGTATTGGTTGACAGTCGAAGGATTCGCGAGAAAAGTACTTCGTAATATGAACAAATCTTCCATTTTACTAAACGCTGCAGTGATAGAGGAGTGATTCTAACACGTAAAATGGTGTTGTCGGAGGATTCATCAGTGAAGTTGAGAAAAGATCATCTACTCCGTCTAGCATCCGCAATACGTGCATCATCTCGAAACAGCTCGTTCGATTAGTTAACACTCGTACGATAATTACCTCTTATAATTCACCTACGAGCCGTTGAATTCGCGATACGCCTTTGAGTCAAAAGACAAAAACCGAGACGGAAAGAAAACTGTCTGGCGGTTGGCAAAAAGCGAAAGTCCCGCGGCTGTTACAATAGCTAGCCTTGACAGGACGGCTAAAACTAAAAGTAAAAACTCCGACAATTTTTCTTTTTTTTCGGAGCGAGCGCAGGCGACGGTAGACAGAATGGAAAATGTAGTTTCACGGTCGAAGGATGAAAGGGGTGGAAAGGGGACGAGGTGGGGAGCTATCTCTTAATCAGAGACCGCGGACGGACTCGTCATTGCCATCGACCTGTTCAACAATGCACAAATTGTCTTATTCATTTCCGTCCGTCCGAGTCATACTCGTCTAAACAACGTTATAAAATCCGTTTCTCATCGGAACCCGTTATCGTTCCGCTTGTAATTACGCGAGCGCGCGGTCGCGAATTAACGGGTCAAAGTAACGAGACTTTGAGCCGCGAGGCAGAAGTGCGGACAGAAGTAACTGAAAATCCGTGGAACTGTTATCGCTAAACCGACACGACGAATTACCGCGTGTCATACCTGCCGACGCGGCGGGGCGCGGAGGGGGAACGGACGGAGCGTATAATAAAATAAACATATAGTTCGCGTTTTCGCGTAGTTGCGCAAATCCACTGGCAAAAATCGAACAAAAAGACGGACAACGAGGAGACAGAGAGTGAGAGAGAGAGAGAGATAGTGTGAGAGCGAGAGGAGGGACGGGGGAAAAAAGCCGCGCTAGAGGTTAATCCGATGATGAACGGCGACTATCTGTTGCATTTTAATCTGCCCTTTTTCGAATCGCCGTCCGAATTTCATCCGCGCAAAGCCCCCGCTTCACCGGCACGTCGAAACGGCGATATTAGTCGACGCCGCGTGTCGCTGGGAAACTCGTTTCCAGTATTACAGAGCACGTGCGCGCGTGTTTGCATACACGAGCACGCCGCGAACGCGTGCCATCCCCGTTTCATCCCTCCTTTTTCCGAACACCGCTCCTGCGCCAGCCCGACCTTTACCTTTTCTTCGGCTGCACGACCCGGTTTCCCCGATTTTCCCGATTTTTTCGTGATCTATGGCATAGGATCCGCTGAACGACTTCATCCTTTGCGCTCCACTGCCTCGAGTCGCCAAGTGATTTGACATAGGAAAATCATGAAGTTCGATGTTGAATATTAAACTTCGTTCGATGCATCGATAAACATTGAATAAAAATAGTTTTGTTAAGCTAGTTCGAAAGAATATCGTTGATATCTCATTAGAAAATGAGTATTTCCACTGAAACACCTGGGGCGCAAAGGGTTAAGCTTTTATTAACCCCTTAAATTGTGACAACGTGTCAGACTCGTGGTGGAGATTTTAAACAGAGTTTAACAAACATAAATATTAATTTTTGTGAATACAAATTGAATAGTACTCTTCTGTTACGAATTATAGCATAGAGATAACATAGATGTAGAATATGCCTAGGATTTTTGTCTTTCAATAAATTTTTAATAACAAAGTAGGTGTGTCGGTCATAGTTGAGAAAGAGATCGTGGGTCAAGGGGTTAAGGAGGGACTAGCTGCGAAGCTATACCTCTAGGTTTGACGCGGTCTATGTATAATGAATGTAACATTACTGCGATTTATGACTAATAGAATTTTCCACTGTGCAGTTACGTTGAATTAGATTAGAATGTGCACAACTATGGATGATGGAGAAAGAATTGTGATGATATAGTGACGCCAAAAGGATGATATCCGCGGAAATATCCAACATTTTCCAACGAGATATAGACGATATTGTTTGAAGCTAATTTAACGATAATTTATAGATAAACTGAGCAACAAAGCTATTTTAAATATTTCACATAGCAATACAATGTTTAATTCAAGATACTAAATATTCAACTTCATAGTTTTGCTGTACCAAATCAAGTGGTGACCTCTCGAGTGCAAAGGGTTAAAAGATCGTCCAGAAATGACTACGAAAGCCAGGCTTTCCATAAGAAATTGGTTGGCCAAGGCAAACTATAGTTTTCTGGGCCCAGAAGCTAATTCGACTCGATCAGATTATATTATTCTTAATGTTTCTACGAGATAACTCGTAGTTGACGTAATAATACAAACAATGAGTTATCTTGTTAACGAGTATACGTGTGCACCATAGAATTTTGTCACGCGAGACAACGATACAGGAATTTGAGGCGAATCGGATATTCATTTCCCAGTCTTTTGCTTGAATGTTTATCAATGACAAAGTGAATGACAGCTTACAATGTTAGTTTTAACTACTAACTTTTATGTTAAACCTTATCCGATCCGATTCGTCTTATCCTACAGGAATATACGAGAAAAATTCAACCAATCAAGTTTTCAATGACGCAATTAATAGCCAATTAGGAGATACACAGAGAAAAATATTGAAATCACCATACGACGATTAACACCCTATGACACTGTTAAGGGGTTAACACAAATTGGACCAGCATCCAAAATTTGAATTCCACGCAAAATTCCTAACCGAGGAATCCTGTAACACGGAACATTTCAATCGCGTTAGACTCCACTATAACAAAATTCCACGTTCTTAATTTATAGTTACCGCGAAAGGTGCTCGAACAATACACAAAAGATTCAAAGCAGTCCGCTAATGGCTGGCGTTTTATTTTGGATCGCCTTGTACACTTGTCCTCGGTCTCTATCTCTCTCCCTTCTTCTGTCGCCCGTATCTCATTGCATTTTTCGCCGATGGATGCAATTCGTGTCCAACATTCGTATCATCGCGATGTTCCGTCGCAACCGGCCAGCCTAGCAATTTCATTCGCGGCTGGCGTGTCCCGCTGTCTTGAACCCGAACGTGTACCTGAATGGGTCAATCAGGTGTCTCCGAAATGCAACGTCTCCTCCTCTAATTCCTTTCCTATGCGGCAGTCGCGTGGAATCGTTTCTCATGCCGGAAGAGCCGCAGCGTTCGCCGCGCGCGCGCCGCTAATCGACCATAACAGGTTTCGTCGAAATAATGCCGGAAAAAGGATGTTAAGGTCCCGATATCACGAACGCGGTTGCGCGCTCGCGCGATGTCCTTCGCGCTTCCGCCTGGTACGCGGTACGCGCGCCGTGTCGCGCCGGCTTCTGCATTCCAATTCGTCAATGTCAGTTCTTTGTCAACGATAAATTTAACGTAGCCCGGACGGTAATCTCGCGGCGACGCGCGCGCTCTTCCCGCGGGTAACACTAGACAACGGAGAACGATAAATGGGTCACAAGACGACTGTGCTTTGCGCCGCGGTGTCCGATTACCGCTTACATCGCTCGCCAAGCTAAAATACGAGCGAAGTACATACCCGACGTGCGTTCCTTTGATAACGCCGGACGGAATTCGGCGAGCGGCGGTAGCTACCTTCGCTGCGATCATCCGAGTTTCGGTTACCCTTGGCCCCCGGTCGTCTTCAACCGGATCCTCGCGGCACACATAGCTCCGCGCTCGTGCGCCGCGATCGTCGATCACCGTGTCGGTTAGCCCGCTAACCGTCTGCGACGAGTTAACTCGCCGATCCTCTGCGGTTTTCCTACATTTCCACGGAAACCACCGGACCGTAGTCGCTTTCTGGATCGTCGATGTCCGCTCGAACCCATCGAGACCGGAGTTTCTTTCGCAGAACGCTTCCTCGGTAGCGGACACTTCGAACTTATCACTTTCATTGCCGCCCGTTTCCTGCGATCCCTTCGATCTCGATTGTGTTGCTCGTTTTTAGTAACGAGATTATCACTTTCATTACTGTTCGTTTCTCGTAATCCCTTCGGTCTCGATTCCATTACTCTCCTCGGTGTATTAGGTCGGGGATAATATAAGTTTCAATTCAAGCTTTTATTTTCGCCGTTCGCTGATGGAGCGAACTGTTCACTGCTAATTGATAATAGAAATTCATGATCGTTACACACGGCGTAATTGTTCTTCTTGGTCGATCTATTACAAGCCCGATGTGCGATTCGTTTAGAGTAGGTTACACCGGGTTCGCATAAAACTTTACGACGGAAACGTACTCTCCCGGAGTATCGGTCCGGGGGATCCCATCGGTTCCAGCTAGTCGGCACGCGACAGTTTCGTGGGAATCGCGTCCTCCCCGGCGGCGGGCAAAAAGAGAACCGGGCTCGCCGAATCGGGTCATCCGTCGGTCGCTTATCTGGCTCGGCCGCATCGCGGCTGGAACCCGACGGAGCGATCCCGTTAAGCGTCGCGGATCCCGTCGGATCCCGGCGTCCGCGGTTCTTGAGATTTCCAGGGTACGGATCCGGCGAGCGCGCGCGGGCTCGCGGCTCGCGGCGCGGTCGTGGCAGCAATTTCACATTGTTCCAGTATATTATTTCATTGCACGATATCGCTCCATTAGTTCGACCCGAGCAGTGATTCCCGAGGTCATTATACCAGTGGAGAATCGTCGAGAAAGAGTGAGCGGCGAGAAGAGACGGTGGAGTGGCGAAGGAGACAAAGAGAGAGGTCGGTCTCGCTCGGTGAAAGAGCGAGCGAGAGAGGTCGCCGCGGGGAGAGGGAAAAGAACGTGAAAGAGAGACAGGGAGAGAAAGACCGAGAGAGTCGGAAGGAGCGAGAAAGACGTCGAAAGAGGGAGAAGGAGGCACGAAGAAGAATGGTCCGCGAGGTCAGCCCACGTTCGTACATATTCTCACGTAGATCTCTGTGTACGTACCGACGCGTGCACACCTTGACGAACATTGTTGAGGGAAAAGAAGCCAGGCGCGCGGGTAATGCATCGGGCTGGCTAGCGGTCGGTACCGCGCCGGGATCGCTGTTCGAACGAATGGAAAGGGCTGCGGGGACAAAGAAGGCCGGGGGACCAGAAATTTCGGCAGCTGGTACTTTTGGTTGGCGATTGCTTTCAACGAGCAGCGCGCGCGCGAGAGAGAGAGAGAGAGAGAGAGCCAGCGAGCGAGAGAGCGAGCGAGCGCGCTGTTCGCTACGCATTGTTCGTCGGCTCCGCCTCGCTTTTGTAACTTGGCATAGGTCCCTGGCGTTTCCCCCCGACTGGCTCTCCCCTGATCCGAAATCGATTCGATCGAAAAATCATTGAAACGACTCGGGGTACGGATGACTCGCGAAGCTTCCGCGAGAACGACGATATACTCGCCAGGCGTGAACATCGCGGGGAATTAACGGATAACCTTCGGAGACTCTATCTTTGGCAAGCATCGTTTCGAGATCTTAATGAGGCACGGCTTGGGTTCCATGCCTTGTTGAGAGACAACCAGCGGCTGGCGGATTTCGACATCCATCCCGCGTTCTCCGTCCTCTGCTCGCCGCGAAAACGGCCGATCTCTCGCCGGTGAATGGGAATCTCGCGATCGCGTAACAAAGCGCCGCTGATAGCGGCTCTCGACCAGCAGTCGAGCTGTTTAGAAATATTTTTTCCCAATGTCCCCGGCGCGCGACGAGGAGCGCGCAGAGAAAAGCGTCGATCCCATTACACGCGCGACCGTCCGCGGCCGTTGATCGGCGATTCGCTTCGCAATTGGTCGTGCAACCGTGCGCGTAGCGGCCGAGATCGGTATCGGCGGTTGCTCCATTTTCGTTTTCAAACCGCGAGCGAGCGATCGCGCGCGCGCGCCGCTCGGATTCGAAATCGTCGGCCCCGATTGCTCGCGACGAAATTTTCGAAACTTCGGACGGACTGCGAAAGTGCGCGTCTCTCTCGTCTGGCACACACGGGATGGTTATCGCAATTATTTCGTTATTATCGTCCCGAAGGCTTAGAGCGGCGGCAGGCGAATCGCAAGCGGAGTTTCGGACAAAGGATAGCCTTGTGCGTCGTGAGAGCCAGCTGCGGCCCCACCATGCCCGACCACCCATTTCCTAACCTTCTACTCTCGTCTAAACCGGATTGCCATTGGTCGAAACGGGCCGACGATTAGTGACGGGACCAAGGGAATACCACCAAGAGACGCC